GAAAACTCGATGTGACATATACTAATTTCACATATGATGGCACTGAAGTCGGTTAAAAATCGATAGTAAATTGAAAAAAATTACGACCCGGGCAGGACCTGAACCGGCATTCTCAGCGATTCGTGCTGTTGTTGAGCTATTGAGCTACCATTAGCTCGATTGGCTCAAGTACTGCCAGATTCATACATTTTTTGAATTAATTTTTTAAATCAGTATTTAGGTTGTTGACAGTTCTCGTGAGGTATCCCCTCGTGAAAATGTCTAATACTACCTTAGCTAATTCTAATAACTATAGTATTATTCACTAAAGAAGATCTTAGAAGAGATCACTGATAACAATAAGGCCGCCCGATGCATTCTATCGAATAGTTGTAAAATCATTGTCTATATATTTTTGTGTACCAAAGTATGAAAATAAGTCTGATATTTCGTTCTAAGTCTATTAAATAACGCGCTAAGCTTGTAGAACACTACTCGTAATATAATTTACGTTCCGAGTAAAACGTTTATTGTATTCACATGCTATTGCAACTGCGCAGGAAAATTAATTTACGCGCCTAATGTACGCAGCGTAAAGAGTTTTGGGTACAACAGCGGCAAAATCAATTTGAAAAGCGGGCTATTGGCGAGCGGCCAGCGTCCACAAACGGACAGCCACAAACCTGAATATTATAATACCTACAATGGATACTCGACCATCAATCACGTTATATTTACTCATACTCCCAATAATATCGATTCAATATTCGATACGCTGTACAGTTATGAGGAAAATGTCCCGAAACAATGCACGATTCAAAAACGGAATTGCATGATTCAACTCGACGGACGTTGTGTTGAAATCCTGTTTTCCCGTTGCAGTATAGAGCGAGCACACTTCTGTGTCCGTTTTACTGAACGCTTCTTTTACAAGTAGGTAAGTAGTTGATCAGACTTCTGAACCTTGCCTTACCTTGCCTGCGTGTAACAATCCTTTATTTCCCCGGGGTGCGAACCCAGGACCTCTCGCGTCAAATGTCATGCCAACGCGTTTAACCGTTTGGCTACAGAAGCTGTCTATATGATGTAACGCTTCTGAAAGTGCAAAAACGGGTAAAAATTATTTATACATCTTAAACTATATTTTTATACTATAAACTGTTACACAACTGAAAAAAGGGGCTCAGTAGGCCCGCTAAGGTGGACCCCACTACGAAACCAACATTTAACTTAAATACATTTTAATGTTGTTAATTAACACTTAAACTTACATATGAATATGTAAAATATGGTAGCCCTGAAAACTCTCAAAATGCACAAAAAATCTTTAAGTTTTTCCGCTTTAAAGGATTAAGCATGTAAAATATGTTTTTTAATTTTATTTATTCCGATTAAATTACTGCCCAAAATTACCAAACACGCACAAGAACTCCGCGAGCAAAATTTGAAAAATGCGAGTGATTGGTATCGAATGTGTTTGCCCAAAGGCACGTCTGTCATTCCGGAAAAACTTCGTGAGATATGCGTGCTGGTAAAGCTTCTGAAGAAGCCGACGGCTACGAATCAAAATATCGAAATTAATCGAATTAATTCCATGGGAAATTCCGTGGTTTTATAAACCTTTTTATCGTAATCTGAAATTTGAAATTCTTTTACATGAACCACTTTAATGATTTTAAATGCGAAATATATTAGTTAAAGTAGGACGAAACAGATGGCGATAAAGTAGCAGTTTAACATTAGCCACACCCTCCACCTTTAGTTTCCCCGTGACCACGTCTGCTGCAAAGCTTCCGAAACGTCGGGCTGTAGTTAAAAATAATTTGTAAACAATTATAACGACTATATTTCGTTCTAAAGCTTTAAAACACTTTACCGTTTAAAAAGCGTAAACTGCAGACAGTATTTTGAAATTCTTGTTTATTAACTCTTGTTGAATAAAATACTAAATCAAACGAATATGTTTGAAATCGCAACAATATTACGAATAACGTATTGATCAGCGTATTTCTGAGAAAGCACGCGTATTTTCACCTCCACCTAATCGTTACGAGTAGAAGGGGTTGCTATCCTCTTCAGACAGGCAATGTTCTAATAAACACTATTTTATAAAGCACCCGATTCAGTTTGTGATTATTTTTCTAAAGCTTTTTGAGGTTGTGTTATGAATTTAAAAGATTCGTATTTAAAGATAGATTTGTTTAAATTGCAAATTATTATCTTGTAAAATAAACAACAAAATAATAAAAAAAGTGTTATAAGCTATACCGTTTATAAAAAGGGCTCGACTTATTTTAGTGAAATTTTGTATAAAGTTCTCTTATAGACCGACTGAAAGATTCATGCGATATGAAGATTTGTAAATCCTTTAATGGTTTTATTCACAGCATAGGGTTACATGAAACAATAAAGATCACTCCTAGAGTATTATAGGCATGTTAAACAACCTTTAACTGTAATGATGTTGACAGAAGAAGGTTTATATTAAGCTGTTAAGTTTTCGAGCCCTTAGGTAAAGAAGTTATTAGGTTTAATTTCTTAATTAATAATGTACGTAATAAAGATCCCTTATTTAACAAAACACTTTAGAAATGGCTCAGTTATTAACGATAGAGAAGGACAGATAAGCTTGATGGTAGGTGAAATAACCCAGCAGTATAACACCTAAACATGATGCGCGGTCGACCTATTTTGCTTTGGATATTTGGAAATCCACAGACTGAAATCGGAACGCGATTAAACTTGACGGCTTTTCATGTGTGCACGGTGGTTCGTGACCTGGACGGAATATTATTCATAGTACGTACGTATATAGTAGTTCAGTATGTGTATTTATTATTAAGCTTTTGAGCTAAGATGAAGCTTTTGTTATTAAGCCATAGACATTCCTCTTAAGCAATTATTTACCACTATAAAATTTTTGAACCGCTATCCGTTGATTCTTTACAAACATTATGAAGTCAATATTCAGAGCGAGAACATCGATTATAATCGTTCCGGTACTTTACGACTTTATTTCTGGCCGGCGTGTTTTCTTTGACTGCGTCAGTTAGCTTGGGACTGCGCGTTCGCTGCGTATCGGATAAATATTAATAAAGCTGCCGGCCTCGTTTCTGAGAAGTTGGGAGGATCTTATTATAACCGCAATAGCACCTATAATTAGCAACATCCATATTACTCGCGCCGTAGGTACGTTGCGCCAGATAAGTGTTACGTGTCGAATATTCGAATCACTAATAATATTTCAGATCGATCTTCAAACGACCTTGCAGCGAGATTCTTCTGTTTTTTCATATTTCAAATTTGGAAGGCTGAAAAGCAACAGGTAGGCACAGGTGTCTACGAAAGATTTACTGTATCCGCTATAAAAGTGATCAAACTAAAACAAAAGAATGAGTCAGAGAAGCCAACGACCGGCGTCCCAGGGTGATCTTTCGAAATTCCCGAATAATTGTCGAAGCGTAAGGTGACGCCGAAAATAACATTGAAGCCACTCATTCCCTCTCCAAATTAATTTTATTTTTGTATCGATGAATTGGCTTTATTTCGGACTAATTGCGCCCCGCGGCTTTACTCACGAAGAACAGACATCATATAATTATTATTATTTATAATAACGGTTTTAAACGTGAAATATATATGTCTATATAATACGTTTAAGAACTTCAGCTTCCTATTTTATTTGATTATTATATTATTATGATTTTATTAAAAAAAAATCATATTTAAATATTTAAAATTGACAAAGTTAGCTTTTATTGTAATTTCCTCGAGATATAAATAGTCAGCATAATTTCATGGATTACAACAAATATCAGCCGTTTCAGTGTAAGAAAGTGACATACATGCATGCAGAAACGTTCGTGTTAAGATAAAATATAGAATAAGGTTAAACTGTTCTCGGACGTTTTAACGCAAACGTTTGGATCTAGTCCAAAGATCCTTTATAAATTGTCGAAATTATTTCGCTCTGAAAATTGTGATTGTGTAAGACCTCTGAAAGTCCTATTATGCTAAGAAGAAATACGACCAGAGTAGAAAAACTGATAAATTAGCCCTTTGGATGTTACAGTCGTTTACATGTGTTTTACTGTAAGATTGTGTACTATATAGCGAGCTTATTAACTGTAAATGTATCGTGAACGGAAGTTTTGTTAAGCGACATCGTTCGGATATGGCATAAATTCGTTCAAATTCAGGATATAGTATTTGGAGAAGGAGATGGAAATAGACATTGTAATCAACCTAAAGAAGAATGCGTAATTGTAATTCAAAATGCAAGGCAACGCTTGATAATATTGCTAGAAAGTTAATAGTCAGTATTTACATCATAAACTTACGAAGACATACCTATAAGGCCGCTAGAGGCAAAGTAGCCTAATTGCAATTTTATGACTTGACTTATGTATATTTTATGTATGTTAAAATGATAAATATAATACATTTTCGCCTAGGTGAATTGTGGATTTTTATTTTTCTCTTTATTGAAAATCATGTTTTTTGTTATTAAGTCACTCTGCCTATAACAGCCTCATATAGAACGTAATAATAGTCCAATTTTGGATGCTAGAATCGTATCGTATACAAAGCGAGACCACCGCACGAGTCAGTCGATGGGAAGCGATGCACACAGCCAACTAACCGTGGGAAAGCTACCGTATAGGGTATATCGCGGATAGACATATATCGTACGTGTAACGGAACTGACCTTTTTGGTCATTAGCTACTAATTAGACCAAGAAGTGGACACGACAATGGAACTAAATATAATGCTATATTTACTTACGATATACCTTTATTTAAAATATATGTCTATTACAAAATATATCTATCGTTTTCTATTAAGAAGTAATAAAAAAAACTTAGTTATATAAATATTAGATTAACGTCATAATTCAATCAATTAATAACGACAATTACATTAATCATACGTTTCGAGTTTTTCACTTAAACCGAGTAGACTTCAGTTGAAACTCATTAGGATAATTATATTGGCGATTTACTGCGTGTTTATACCCACAATGCCGCGTGTCTTGGTGTGTCCGAATCGAGGTTACACACAGACGAGCACACGCCGCGTGGTAACAGCGTTACTGTGTAACCCGGCTGAGGATCGCTGAGCTGCGGAAAAGCATCTCTTTTTCCCGCTTAACCCCAATTAGCTAGATACGGGAGGCAGAGGAGCAGCTCAAGCTAAGCTGGCCACCGAAGCGTGCGGCAGACGTCATCCCCACACTACGACGGCCCACTCACACAGACGGAAATGACCGTGGCATTCCATCAGCATCCACGCTCACATGCGCACTGCGCACCTTATTAAAACGAGACGCGAATCGACGACTTATCGGGCAATTAGTCGTGGTCGGCGTCAAACTGTACGATCCGGAATCTTGTTCACCTTACATTGACTTTTATCTTATCTTGCGGAGTTAACGTATAACGCGACAAAATTTAGAGGTCCACTCTTAATTACCATCTCTAATTGTGGTGGTTAATTACGTGTTATCTGGATATGCTTTTTGGGAGTAATTAAAGTTAAAAAATAGAGGAGAAGGGATTGTTTATGGGGCTAGCGTTTAATGAGCGTGTGTGTTAATGGTTTAATATAAATATTAAGTGGGGATGTAAATCGCGCAGATACAGATAGTCGTTTGCGGTCGCGATCTGTGTACATTGGTAGGGGTAAATGGAGTCGGCACGCGCTAGTCTCGCACTGCGCAAGTGCGCTTGATAACAGCCTCTCAAATTATTAACATGTTGTCAAGTTATGAATTATTATTCTGTTAACAACGATCCGATTAAAATAAAACATTACGTGTCGATGTTAATTACGCGCCCGCCAGTTTTCACTTAATAGTTCATTATAAAATGCGCGCATGTCAATTGTCAAATGAATGACAATTGACACCGCGGTAATTCGCTCCCAAACTGGGTGACAAATTGCTTGTCGGCTTCAACTGGTTTTTAAGAGAATATCCACGAGTGTTTCGAGTTAAACAAACATGCAATGAATAGCTAATTGGCTTATATCCGGATCTCAACAGGTTTAAACATACGAATTAACACGATTAAAATCACTTCGGATCACTATCTCGTTAATGTTAAACTGTTAAGTTCTAACAGCTTGTCATAGCTTATGATTGTTGATATTATAAGACGATAAAAAGATAAACTATGTGCCGCCGGCTTAACGCTTACACACCATAAAAATAAACATGGCGTGGCTAAATTTATTCGGAGGGAGCATTTTGTAATTGCACGGAGACTAAGTTCTATTATTTCATTCTATTAAGACATAGAAGTACGTACTTCCATCGATATAGTGTGTAGTTCTATATAATTTTAATTTTATTAAGCCGAATGGAAAAAACGATAGCCCCATATTTACCGATGGCTTCGTGGTTCCAATACTTAATACAAACGGATTACGGGTTCGATTCCAGCCGCTGCTGTTTGTTGTTGATGTTTCTTATCAATAATTTCTTCAAAACAGTTTCGTCGCGTCAGGAGAATCTTAATGTTGAAGTAAATATGTAAAGAAATATAAATTATCGGTTAAGACGTATGGATAACCGGGTTTCAGAATTATTAAGACTCATCTTAACTTAGTAGTTACAGGGCTAGGTATTTCATCTTCCGGCAATCCCATGCGTATCTATCCTCGATAAGTAATAAAAACACCATAATCTTAGCTGTTATGTACAAGACACTATAGTGAAATTTGGACTGATAAAAAACTGGTCTAATTAACAATACAGTACATACGACAATTAATTCCCAACCGGTCTACAAAACATTGGAATACTTAAACGTAGCGGCCGTTTCATTATGCAAAATTTATAGTATTTTCTTGATAACGCGTTAGTTTATTTACAATTTTATTAGACCACCCGCGGCTTAAGAGAGCTGTCCTAATCTATGCTACGATTTAATTTGTACAATATGCCAAGAAACCGTCGCAATAAATTATTTTCGAATAACAAATGTCTTTATAGACGTCTGTAAGTGAATTAATTAGCTTGCGACTGAGCATACTTCGTATATAATCGGAAATGAATTATTATCGGACTAGTTTGTTAATAGTAATAGAAATATAACGTACTAGCTGATCCGGCAAAGGTCGTTTTGTTGTTTGTAAGATTAATATTTTAAAAATCGAAAATAAATTGAAAAAATTTTCGACTCGGGTAGGGCTTGAACCGGCATCGTCAGTGTTCCGTGCTGTTGCTCTGCTCAATTTATTTTCGATTTTTAAATTATTTAGTGCCCTCGTGTGCAATAACGTGTAAAAAATAATAAAGCTTTCAAAGATTAATATTATTATTTTGATGTAATAATGCGTTAATTCCGACAAATTTTAGTGTCACAAAAACGGTTCTTGTTAGTGAATCTTAAAAGATAATCATATATTGTTTCAACATTTTTTAGATCTTTTAAAGAAGATCATTCTTTCATTTATATTTTTTGGTTTCTTAGAACCGTTCTTGAGCCCGCACAAAGGAGCCTCTAAAAGCAGAAGAATACTTTGCCCCGGTTATTCCACTGATTCTTCGCTTCTATTGATGCAGCAGTGAGCAGCATTTTATTTAACATAAAGCCTTACCGATAGATGGGGTATCCAACACAATAAAATATATACCTCTTTTTAATTCGAACCCATAGTTCCCGTGATTAGCGCATTTAAACAAACAAGATTCAGCATTATAATATTGGTATAAATGAAATTTAAAAACCACCCTACTTATTATTATGAAAGCTAATGAAAGTCCTATCAATATTGGTCGATCTGTTTGGAGATTATGCCGGTGAAACAGATAGATATCAAAACTCAAACGAAACGAGTGACTATGGCTGCAAAGCGAACAGACAGCGAGTCTCCAAAGAACTCAGTATTCGGAAACGTCGGGTCGTAAACAAAAAGTTAAGTAACTCGCGTTTTAAACAGATACAAATGTTTTATTAAATGTGTTCTAAGTAAAATAATAGTTAATAGTTTTTTTATCGCCATGCATATGTACCATGTTTAGGTTAAAAGCTGTTTGTCTAGATATTGTAAACGGCGTGGACATTTTTGTCTAGTCGTATGTAAGCTAAGTCAAGCCAAACAAAGATGGCAGGAACAGTATTTAGATTGTGGAATCTTCAGCGGGCGCGGAGAGCGGAGCAAGATAGGACTGCGCTCGTAAACTCGCTGCAAAGACGCAAATGATACTCGTGCTATAAGGACATAGAAAGCACAAAGAACTTTTTTGAATGACGCAGTACTGGCGCACTAGACTTTTCTCAACGCTAATGCAACAATGAGGTTTTATACATGCATACTACACATTTTAAACACCACGAAAATAACATAACAAGCTGTGCAACTGTGACTTAATGTGCAACTCAATGCTTTTGAGTAAAAAACTATCAGTTTTACAAAAAGGAAGTCGATTATGATTTTTTATGCGAAATAAAACGTGTTCTTACCTTAATCTGAAAGACACACACACACAAACTACTACAACAATTTTAATATAAACAGAATTACCTTAAAGAACTTATACTTATTTATAAATTCTCTATATCACACCATTCACGATAAAAACCCGCCATATTGACATTATGCATGACGTTACACCACGTCACGCATAGTGTCAAATCTTTAGAATTTGCGGGAAATTTAAATCCTCTTACATATATATGAAGAAAAAAATTAACGAACCTACTAGTAGATAAATATCGTCTGCAGTTTACACACACACTTTTAAATAAAACAATTTTAACATGAACTCTCCTGTTGCTTAAAAACGATTTATTTCAGGCACTGTATTTGTAGCTAGGATCAAATAGATTTGAATTCTTTATTATGTATATATGCATATTTCAATATAAATGATCAGATAGAGAGTCTACTAGTAACTAGGCTCATCCAAGTTGTGTGTACTATTAATATCATATGTGGTATCACTACTTACTATACATAAAATTGTCAATTGTGATGCTTGAAAGAGTGGATTTTTGCATGTAGCAATAGTAAAAACTTATGTAAGCAATGTAATTTTAAAATACTTCTGAACTAAATCTTCTTAGATCTATGGTTTCCTAGCTCTAGGCATTGGAGGTAGGCAGTTAGGCACTGTCCGGTTTGCAGTAGGCAAGATCCTAACTTATGTAGAGAGCTACTTTCAGTTGTCTGCATAGTAATGTGTGAGGACATATACTATATCTATATCCAATACAACACAAAGGCCTTTCTATGCAATGTAATGCAATTAGCAGATAGAACAGAGATGGATCCAATAAATCAAAGCTAATTTTAAGAGTATACTAATTTAATTCTAATTTTAAGATTGTATTTAATTTAATCTGGACTTTGAAAGTGTTGAGAGGAATTTAAAAATTGGGTTCCTTTCCAAGTTTAAAACAACAGGATTCGACTAACAGAATTTCAACCATTTTGAGAAAGGAGGAACTCATTTAAATAACCTTATTTGAAAATGATTGTTAACTTCAGCCCGACGTTTCGGATGCTTTGCAGCAGCCGTGGTCACGGGAAGACCGTCGGGTCGAAGTTAAAAATCATTCTCAAATAAGTTTAACTAATATATCGCGTTTTAAACCGTTAAAGTGTTTTATTTAAATGTGTACTACTCGCGTAAACTATAGACAGTATTTAAGGAGAAACTCACTTTGTTTTTTGATTTTTTTCCCCAATAGCTTTCGTATGAAACTAACCGTTTATAAACCTATTTTGTTGATCGTGGTATTCTAGAAGAAAACGACATATGTCTTATATCAAAGATGGGATCTTTCCAAGTAGAAGAAATGGATATTTGGTTTATTGAAATGGTCGGTCTTGGACATAATATTTCAGGAATGTCTTGCTATACAAAACAGTGTCGACGTACATAAATCAATAAATCTTTAGCCCCGCTGTTTGTAACTGTTAAATACGTGTTTTGTAAAACCTTCATGTCTCCCAATTTCCCACATCTCATGATATCTAGATTAATCATGAGTCAGAGCTGTCATTGGTGACCCCATTGATATTCTATGAGCAGCGAACGCACTGGCCTTATATTAACGTTGGTTGCACCCACGCGCCCAGATAAATTTCCTTGTTGTTTCTACATCTCCTTTATACATCGAAACACTTTATACACAGTAGGCTCACGGTTAGTCCAAATTCGGTCCAAGTTAGGAGCGATTCCATTTTGACCGGCTTGTTGGTCTTATAATAAGATTGTATCGCTAATGATCAACGGGCCGTGGTATCGATCACTACCAGGTTTCTAACTTTTTTGAAACTGTTGGAATTCTAAATATCTGGATATCAAATGGGTTGTAGGAATATAGAAATTCCGGGTCACTACCGTCCATAGATGAAGAGGGCGGGAGGGCTAAAAGGGCCTCCCGCGGGGCCGGGGGGGGGGTCCCCAAAAACCAAACCA